AATTACACACGTCTAGTGTGGTTGGTAGTCAATCTGATTCTGATTCTTTTATTCAATGCCAAGATGGTGGTTACCCACGCTCTTAACAAAACAACCAAATCTTAAGGTCTAGACACATAACTTAAGGTGTAAACAGCGTTGCTACAGACACATTTTTTTCCTACCATAACCAACCAAAACAAACATTTTTTTGAGTTTTAAGTTGTTTTCAATGTCAAATTTTTTAAAAACATAGTTAACATAACATTTAGTTTAACTAAAACACAACTAGATTAATAAAAACAAATTAACTGCGTATAACGATTCATTTTACTGTACAGACTTATCCATGGGCACATATGTCTCTTTACACATACATACAGTAGGTACACTGCAGACCTACCACAGAAAGAATAGGGACCATGCAAACGCATTTGGGCTTCACGCTTAGCGAGACAGTCAGCCCTTTCACGTTGCCTTCAAACCTTTCATGCGTGACGCTATTGTGGGCTCGCAGGTGGTTCAAAAGTTTACAAGCCTTAATGCCATTTTAAAAGACTCTAAGGCCTTTAAAGCTGCCTGAATGTCCGACATAATATTTATTCCGGCCTCATTTGCCTTCTACGATGACATTCGCGAACACAGACTTCGATTGGGAGGACTTCCGCCTGAAATATGGCTGAGTACGAGCCCATTGGCAGACTTTTCTGGAATTTGGTCCAAGTACGCCATAAATTATATCGCAGATGACAGGTAATACGAAACTACATCGATTTTTCGTCTCTCTTGAACAATTTTTAAAAATGGACTTGGCACCTTTCCACCCTTAGGTCACGATATATGGATGTCCGTATTGCATATTGGCAATAATAACGTTTGTACTTAGGAATCAGGTATATTTACATGTGGCCGCCATTATACGAATGCACCGGTGAAATATTTGTGTAAAAAAGGTTGCTTAAATATTTGGAGATATGTACGTACATATTTTCTATTTTTCGCAAATAACGATTACTCATTGTCCTGAAACCTACCAAAATCCAATCAAGCCTACCAACCTACTAAATGGAAAAAAACCTACCAGTTTTGGTAGGAAAAGCCCATGTTTGGCAACACTGTATACATGTACATACATATATACATACATACATATCTGTATTCGTATGGAAAAGTAGCTTATGTCGGGAAGCTGGCTTTAGTATAATGCGGCATTACCTTTATTCTTTAAACTACAAACATATACCTTCGACATTTTAACGCTTTTCTGAAAAAATAAATAAAGCGCAAAAAGAATACGCATCAAAGAATTTGAGCGTTTTTAAACAAAGGTTGCACTCACCTTTCCACCTCCCCTAAAACCAAAAATAGTAAAAATTCATGTATACATATAAATATATTGCAAAACTCGTTTTTGATTTACAATTTTTTTTTTTTATATTAAAAAACCTTTATAAGATAAATAAATACATACATATACATATATATGTATGTATATCTACGCATGTACAAACAGAATAGTACAAATATACATATGTACTTATGTAAGTGGCATAAAAAAGAGCTTAACAATTATAAAATTGAATTTCACTAATTTTAGAAAAAAACGCGACATTTACAAAATGGCATACCGAATTTCTGAGTCGATTTTTTCATAGCGTTTCTAAATGTGCAAACAGTTGCCGATAACAGTTTCAATTTGAATGCTCTAGCAGTAACAATGTAGAAAATACAAAGTTATGGCCGACATGTAAACGGTCAAATATAAACACAAAGCTTCGTACGACTTCAAAAAGTTAAAACTCTTAGGTAACAACTTTGAATGCTTATCAAGTTTTAAATACTCGTACGCATACTTCCGCTTGCTGGTTTTTCTTTAAATGGAATTAAATTGCAAATTCGCCGTGGTCAGGTTCCAGACCACAAGGTCGACGAAATTCTTGGTTGCGTTCATGTATCCATTTGTTCGAGACTGAAAGAGATAAGTAAGTATTTGTTTATTACAGATATATTACCGATGTATGTGAGTATGAACGTATGTACAGAAATATACATACTTAAATATATGCACATATGTTTGTTTGTATGTATTCTTACCCCACTTAGAACCAGTTAGAACAGGGCAGGCCGCATGGCGCGTTCTGAAATCACCTTCACCGGACCTGTGCAGGTTGTACCAGAAGGCCGCTGATCCTTTTTTGGGCGACAAAGCAATGCGTAAGTTTGTAAAGACTGTGGCACCACCTTGTTCCACGTCACTCATCTACGAGGTAAAAAAAGAGGTATTTCACATCGTAAACACGTTACATTACCACCTTCGGCTATAATTGTACCGAGATATTTTGCCTATAAATGGCATCAAAGTAGACTTACATAGAACAACACCGTTGCGATACGATTGCCAGTGTTGAGCCCTTGGAAGGCACGAATTTCATCCCTCTGTAAGGAACGAGATACAATGTTAAAATTTCAATGTATACTCCCTGGCGCTAAAATAATTTCATTGTTTGTATGAATAATTCTGTCTTCAACTCACTCTTGCGAAATCAAAATGCGGCTCATAGTGGCCTCCAATGCCATAATTCACCACCTGTAATTCCTCCGCCACACTCATGTCTAAACCCGTCATATCCTCTGTTCGTTGTACAATGTTTTCAATGATCTTATGCTCCTCTGTGCGTATCCATGCCGATTTGCTGATACGGTAATTAGCGGTTTCCAATTCGCCGGTCACCGCATTCTGGACGGTAGCGCGACGGAATCGAGGACGCGCCAGTTTCTTAACCAAATCAATTTCTTTGTCATGCATGACGTCATAGTAGATCACAATGTAAGGGTCCAAAAATGCTTCTTCGAGTTTGAGTGGCGCCAAGCGCAGGAAGGGCACATTATTGTTAACATAGCGGCATCGGAGTGGTCGCAAATCCGCTGGGGTCAGCTTCAATTCACCACGACAAAGCATTTCGTATGCTTTGCGTTCGCTAAAGGTATAATCACTGGGATCACCCTTGGCAATCGGCTGCAATCAAGCAGAGTGAATCGTTAGTGAATTCCGACTGCTGCCAAATTGGGCGTCTTAGACTTACCAAATCAGAGACAGGTGTACTCTCGCTACCATCGTCACCTTTGACTTTGCGTTCAGCTTGGAGTTCAGCTATCTCCTTTTCGTAAAATACCTTATTGCCTCTGGCGCGTTCATGGTCGGGTGTTAGTTCCAATAGTTCATTAGTCATCGTAAGCGCTCTTTCCACGTTGCCTACAATAAATTAAAAACAACATTAATTTGAGTTCATGTTTTAAAGTTTTTTGATGGATGGATGTTTTTGCTTAAGGCTGGGGTAGGAGGCATCGCTGCGTGCTTAATATGAAGTTCCGAAGGCAGAGATTTCCCTCGGATTTAGCTTAGCAAAAGCGGGCAGCTGAGTGCTGAGATGCCCTACGTTCTTCCCGTTCTTTGCACTCCTGCTCGAAGACTTAATGCCTGGTCAGTTTAAGAAGCTATTTTGGCTGCCTACGGTTCATCAGCTGCTGGAAAGTTCTTGCAGTAGTGAATGTCTTAGGGTTCGCCCAAAAACATGAGTACCACTTGAGCTCCTATACCCTTTCTGCCAGGAAAAATAACTGAAATGTTGCTATGCCCTAAGACCAAAATCAACCTAATTGGTAAGTATTTCGGGGCGACCGCACGAGAGAGGTCAAGCATTCCCTTACCGAGCAATCACTCTCATCTTGGCTATCTGTTTAAATATTTATTCTTCTCGACGGTACTTTCCTAGTAAATGTCTAGTCGTCTACTTTTCTGTATCGGCAACCTCTTCCGAAAACAGCCGCAAAATCGGAGGTGGAGCTCGTCTAAGCACTAATATAACAATCAATTATTCCTATAATGGTTCTAGATTTGGAGGCTGCATTTTTTACCAGTGGCACCGTAACAGCCAAATAGGCCACCTTGTTTTTACTCGCTTCTAAATATTATACACATTATAACTCCTAACGAATAAAATGAGCTCGGTCTTACCAGGATTAATAGCTATTTCACAAACCGCAGAACAACTTGTTACTAAGTTCAGGTACATCGACATGAGGTCCTTACTCACTCTACGTTGGGCGTAGGCATAACCTTATTCCGCCGTGAAATTTCTGTCCCAGAGCAAGGAGCTGGTGATGAACCATATGTCTTAAGTTGATTTTAGAGCCTAGCTGACTTGGAACTCTTGCAACCGCCTCGGGCAACACATCCTCCGTACCGAGGATATACCCAACTATATACATATTTACGAGTATATACTGCATTTGCTCAAGAATAATAAAGGTTAAGTTCGCAGTTTCTCGATATGTAATTGAGAGTGCTACTTTATCACAGTCACAGTTCGTAGCAGCGACTGTTACTGTAATTGTGGAAGGCGAAATCCGACTACTAAAACATCATTGCGACTGTTACTTTGTCACAGTCTGTCACGGTGACTTTTTGGAAGTTGTCACAGCAGTTACCAGTAACTTTTGGAGTAACCGTGACAAAGTCACGGGAACGCAAATATCTGCCACCTCTAAACGGAACAAAGTAAATATCTGTGTTTAAAGTGATTTGTACAACCTTGGTTATTTCTGGAAATGGGTATTTAGTTACAGATGTGCTAATCAATGTTAAATTATTCACTTCACATTTTCTGATGTCCTTAGAAACATCATCTGTTGTTATTGCATTTCCGTTAATGATTCGAAAAACCAGCAATACTCGATTCGAATTCGATTCGTCTCGATAGTTCTACCAGAGAAAACGAGCTTGTCTCGAATTCAAGGCGAACTCGTTATGTTTATTAGGTTATTTTATATACTTAAATAAATATAACTCAAGTCTACCCTGTATTGAAAAACAAGGAGAAATATAGCACTTATGTATGTAAGATGAATACGATTAAGTAAAAGGGTATCGAAAGATAAGGCTTTATTTTAGTTCATTAATTTTATCACATATATAAGCAGTTAGGATTTGAATATATAAATCCGTGAAGGAAATTAAATTACTTTAATTGAAATTCTCACTTTTTTCCCCTTCAATGAACTGACTTATTTAACATAGCGATGTCCTAGGAAGCAGTCAATTATCCGACTCTGCATTTGATTAAAATTACTTTAAAATGCATTTGGCTTAACGAACTTCAAAGTCAGTATGTTTCGTTTGAATACGCTTTCGTTCTGCACTTCACAGATTTGCTTTTTGCATATTTGCAAGATACAAATGGTTTCTTTGGGTAAAAATAGCATCGAATTTTAAGACATTTACTCAATGTATTTGTTTCAAAGTAGTTCTCAAATTTGTTGACATAAAAAACCCACTTTCTTCCGTCAGGATTGTTAATCCTACTTGTCATGACAGCGATGCTTTTAACCGAATTCCAAAAAAGAGGCGGTTACATTTCATCGGAATATATATGTATATATATATTTTTTTTATGTATGTTACCGCATAACTTTGGTCCACGTCAACCGATTTCGATAATTCTTGTATCAGAAAGGTAGTGTTTCAGAGGTGGTCCCATACTAATCTGGTTTAGATCCGATCATTGGATCATGAAGTATATGTATATATATATTTTTTTTATGTATGTTACCGCATAACTTTGGTCCACGTCAACCGATTTCGATAATTCTTGTATCAGAAAGGTAGTGTTTCAGAGGTGGTCCCATACTAATCTGGTTTAGATCCGATCATTGGATCATGAAGTATATGTATATATATATATATTTTTTTTTAAGTCGGTAATACATACATATGAAGAGATGCTGGCCGACAGGAAGAACGCCCGAAAATTCTACCAGAGGGTTAGGCGACTTACGGAAGGTTTCAAGACCGGGGCGAACTCCTGTAAGAACAACAATGGCGACCTATGACCGATGTCCAGAATATACTTAAATTGTGGAGGGAACACTTTTATAACCTACTGAATGGTAGCAGCGCTGAAAGTAGTGAGGAAGACGAACCCGAGTCCCCAGTCGATGATGATGGAGTAGCTGTCCCACCGCCTGACTATGACGAGGTACGAATAGCGATTACGCGGCTGAAAAGCAACAAAGCTGCTGGAGCTGACGGCCTGCCAGCCGAGCTATTCAAGTACGGCGGCGAGGAGCTGATGAGGTGCATGCATCAGCTCGTATGCAGAATATGGTCAGATGAACGCATGCCCGACGAC